TAAGGCGGCGCGCGCGGTGGGAACGAACGCACCCTGCGAACATGACACCCCCTGCGGAGATCGATGTGGATCGGCATGGTGGATCTGCAGAATCTGGAGGATTTTTGCGATTTCTGCGGTTCGCGCGACACTCTGTAGGGATCGGATATGTGCAAAAACTGTACTGTAAACTGATTGAGATTCTACTGCGGTTCGCGCACGGCCCTCTGCAGGCATCGGCGTGGTTGATGTGCAAAAAACCTGGGGACTTTTTTACGGTTTCTACACGGAACGCCAATCAAATGCTACTTTTTTCTGGTTGAAAGCCGGGCTTTGCGCGGCTTTTGGAAGCCAGCAGCCCCGAGCTCGAATCCTGCGCTCCGTTGTAAGAAAGAAAGTCAGTAGCGCGAAATTAACTTGCAAAGTGCACTTTTGGCAGCCCCGGCTGGAAAATCGCAACTTTCAAGTACGAAAGTAGTACCGCAAAGCACACTTTCAGAAGGCCCCGGCTGAAGATCGCAACGTGTAAGTACGAAAGCATTGTGCGAAGCACACTTTCAGAAGTCGGCTCATTACGCGAAGTACACTTTCGCAGGTCCAGATCGACAATTGGACTCACGTCGAAAGGTTGCTGTGTTGTGCCCAGCGCTGCGCGCAGAGAACTTGCTCAGAGAGCTTACTCAACAAAACCTTCTCCGAGCTTGCGCAGCACACTTCTGCAGAGGGCTTGCACAGCGCAACTTGCACAGAGCAGCCGCACACGCAAAGCAACACTTGCACAGAGCAACTTTCGCAGAGCACTTTCACAAAGCAACTTGCACAGAGCAACTTGCGACGCGGAGCACTTGGGCCGAGCATTTGCACAGAGCAACTTGCGCGGAGCAACTCGCGCCAGCAAACTTGCATAAGAAAACGCACGCGACAGACTAAAATGAACATTTGCTCATGGACTCCAGATCATGCGTGAAGCCAAAGACCGCATTTGACATCATACGCCGCGCTCGCTAAATGTTGTGCTTTCGGGCCACCCGTTCTTCTAGTTGCTGTTGCTTTTTGTTGTTGGGATTCCCCTACTTGAGACAAGCTCAGTTTTAAAAACATGCTTTTGGCAACTGCGGCTCACATAGAAAATATGTCCAGCAAGGCGTGCGTAGTATTTAGGATCTCCCCGTGTGTTACGCGAAGCCAACTTGACGAACGCCAAAACCACGCCTGTGCAAAAGACTGCGAACAAGATAGGCAGGGCTGCCAGGGCGCTGTAGTATTGCAGCCTGGGGCTGGGAGATCGAAACAAATCACGTGCAGGATGCTTCTTTCCTACCCAAAACATACTTTGCAACTGAGCTGGGCACGTCCCAACCAGAAACTATGTGAAGCTTCTTCAGTAGAGGGCAAGAAGCGTAATTCAGCTGTTCAGGAAATACGCACCCCTTCTCGCCCAGTTATTGCAGGGTGACAAAATGGCATACCTCCTTCTATGACGGCAAGGGGCTGGCCGAATCTAGTTGCATTGGCCGCAAACCTGGCCAAGCGATGCTGAACCTCTCTCTAAGAAATGGCCAAACCACAGAACAAGTCATGAGCCATAACGCCGTACCCGTGCCCTTGAAGCAATGACCTCAAGCAGAACCTCGAAAAATCTGGTGCGCACACCCAAGTCCCACGCATAGCCTTCTAAGCAGAAGGTGGTGCGTTCAAAAACTGTCAAACCTTGTATTTACGGGCGCAGTGGCATCGCGCGGGAAAAGCACACTGAATTTGTTGGCTCATTTCCATGCACCAACACATGGTTTCTAACGAAACCAAACACGAACAGTGAGGAGTGGACCTTCAAACTAGGCTCAAGAAAGCGAAACCACCCAAAAAGTTTGGATCTTGCCCTCCCAACACTTAACATGGAACCTGACAGGGGGTCCCTTTTGAAAGGAGCATGGTCTTCTAGACCCCCCCGAAGGTGCTCGCAAAGGCCCCGGCTCGCTGGCGCTAAAACGGACAAAGCCCTTGGGGCCGTCCCTGGCGTCGTGGCACCCCCTGTCAGGGCCCGTTGACGAGAATGGACCCATGCAAGGATCCCGGGTTACACCACGTTGAGGAGCTTTCTTATTAGTTGGGAGAGGCCGAAGCATGGAATGCACATACTCTTTCAGTTCGATCATGCATACACGGCCAGCGCTAGTGCATTCAGCGCATATTTTTGACTTTTTCAGTTGATCCCAGCGATTGTTTGTACTGCAATCAATGGAAACATGTGCCCCCGCAACTTAGGAGCAATATCTGAGATCAATCTCGACAAAAAGACAAAATTGCCTTCTCAATCTGCGGAGTGGACCGCAGGCCTTTCTGAATCCGGCAGCGCTACTTTGCTCAAAAAAAAGGCTGAAAGGTAAACCCTGCAACACAGGACCGAGTTTGCGAATCAGCCATGACTTGTGACGCCCTTCACTCTCAAGCAATTTCAAGAATATGCTTGGGTCCCGGGAAACACCAAAACAGGTTAGTGTATATTGTTCATGAGCGAAATGCGACACTTCCCACTGGACAGCACTTGTCTTACATTTTAACATGCTGGTGCACCCAGACTCCCTGGAAATTCATGAGCATCCCTACGAGACCCAACAGAGCAGATCTTTTGATGATGGCTCGTGGCCAAACGATCATCCTGCTCGACTGGATCATGCAATGGGAAGCAGCAGTTGCCATTTGCATTGGCATAGTTGAGCATCGGTCAACTCGGTAACGGGAACCCATGATTAGTACTACATACACTCATCTCGATAACATGGGGGTGTCACCCACAAACGCGAAGGATTCAAACAAAAAGCGGACACCCCCCCATCAATCAACCAGGGTTTTATTGGTCTGGCGACAACATTAGTGCCACGGGCTGGTTCTGGCATTTGTCCAGTAGCAGAACCCGCGACATGACACGTGCAAACTGCCCTTCTGGAAAGAGACTGGATGGAAAACACTGCAGGGAGATGCAAGGAGGGGACCCTTCAAGGAATATGTTTTGCGAAGGTAAGTATCCATTAGCCCGAAACGGAAAGCATTAGAATGGTTGTCGACTCGCAAGCGTGGCCGGCTAAACTTCTTAAACCTAAAGCGTCAAAGGAAGCATTGATGCTCCTCGTTTGTAGCTTAGGGCATGGCTAATGTTCCTCCCTGATCACAAAGCCAAAGAGATTCCAGCTGAGCCCCAGGCTGAAGAAGCCAGGAGCAAAACACGTTCTGGACCTGCGAAACCAGGAATCTATATTTTCTGTTTCTGGCAACTGTAAAACATTGTCCAAGCCGGACATCTAATAATATGCGCCACGGACACCTGGTGCCCGGGCGTTCATCAAATCTAGTTCATCATAGATGCTTCGGCCAGCAAAACCATGGGAAAAACAGTGTTTTGTGGCATCGCAATCATGAGTTCGCCAAGTGCTTGCGCAGTACTTGTCCGGTATTTTTTCTTAAAAATTACCGGACAAGAAGTTGCTTTTGGCTGTCGTTGTCTTCTGCCAACCTTCAAGTTGATCGTCTGAAAGCTTGAAGCACATGGCCTGCGCGATGTTTTCAATACTTTCAAGTTCTGCCTTCCTTAAGTTGCAGCATGTCGCTTTGAAAGGGATGCTGAAACCCCACACGCAGGCCAGCCTTTTTTCACGAGGCCAACTGCAGCCAGGACTTGATCATGCTGTCTGAACAAATGGCGGCCGGAGCATATCCAGATGACATACAGTACTTCCCAGCAATACTCATCAGCACCCCAAAAAAGCACACACACTAGTCAGCTCGCGAGTGGGGTACCAAGACGAGGACGGCACCTGCATGAGCACGAGCCACATGCACAAGAGCGGATCAGACGGCCATGGCACGATCTTGCCATGATACTCCTGGTACATGTTTCTAATATGAAAGTGCTTCAGCGGCTGAGGCGATGAAGAAATCCTAACATGAGCCATGAGCATATTGTCAACCGTGTGCTTATTCCCCCCCCCCCAAACAAAACCCGACCCCCCCCCCAAACAAAACCCGAACCCCCCCCCCCCCAGGAACAGAGTGAAAGTGCCGGGCACCAGGTGTCTACGGCGCGAATTAATAACTTCCCCTTATGGAACTCCCCCCACTTAATAATATATTGAACACAAATACGAATTGGATCCCAAAGTCCCTGCTTTCTTCCCTAGGGAAACGTACCACTGCGTGACCACTAGCGGAGTAGACATGTCGCTTTGATTTTGGAAATTGTTTTGTTCCTTAGCACAAGTTTAATGGAACCTGGGCCTCATGTTTTCCTGTTTTTGGTGGTAGCAGTTGAACAAGGGAAGTGCTGAAAGCATCCCCTACTAAGGGCTGTCAGGAGTTTAGGGATTTGTTTGTTTAGTATTCGCCGAATCCAAAGTCAAGGGACGAGATGACTTTTTCGTTGTTGCCTCAAAACAAATACTTATTAATAGGGATGATTTGTTCACAAGCGGAGGCGATCACACTCACAACCACCCTCGCTTTGGTCCAGACGTTTCTCGAATAACGTGTTTGGTCCATCTGCAATGAAGGCCTCTTTCTGAGGGTTTTATGGGACATCAATGGGACGACTCGTGCCTGACTTCGGCCTCTAAGGACACTCTAAATCCTGGCAAAAAACTGGCAGAGCATTCAGCCGCCATGACACTGTTTCAATGACTGCTCGCTGTCAAAGGGAAAGCGTCAAGCAAAGTAATGCGTATCGGTGATCGCTTCCGGGCGATGGCGAGGGGCACCAATGACAACACCCACCATTCTCAGTTTCACATGGCATGATTTCATGATTCACCTGACAGCCAAGAATGGCCATTGCCAAGGAGTCAGGTTGCCAAGCATGAAAGTGGGAGATGCATGGCTGAGATCCTCAAGCAATCTTTCACGTGTTGCTCCGCCATTTTTGACCATTCCCTGCTTGCAATCAACTCCTTTCGCCATAAAAGCGCCAGAAATGGGTTTGCAAGCCTCGCCGTGTGCAAAAGCCCCTTCGCTTTCAGGCATTGAGAGCCAATTCATCGGAAGGCCATCGCAAATGAGGGCCGGGCACACTCGGTAACGTTCACAGCGAGGGCAGCGAGAAACCCGACCTGAGCCCAATTCCAAGCACACCAAACGCTCCGCCTGCCCACAAAGTCCGCCAAACTTGGCACGGGATACGAAGGCTTCTATTGAGGATTCGGGATATATATATATATAATATATATATATATATATACACATATGAGTCATATGTGTGTGTCTGGGCCCAGCTCACTGCCACGGTTTCGGCTGCCTTGCCCATTTCAAAATAAAGTTCTTGCCAAGTGCCCGCCAAACCGGCAAACAGCCTCGATTTGTTCCCCTGACAGGTGTGAAGCTTGATTGATCTTAGCAAAGCAGAATAGTCAGGAGTAGGAGCATGTTCCGCCAAGTGACAACCCATTTCGGCAGCACATTCTCTGGGTTTCCCCATCCACGTATCCCATGAGATTCAAAACATTGCGAATCCCAACATACAAGCTAACTCCCTCAAGCAACGGCAACTTTCACCATGGCCTAGAACCTCGACAAGACTTGGACACCTACAAATAAGGTCGCTTTGTGCTTTCCCGCCTCTGTGTCTTCGGAAACATGGCTGGACTAGGTCAAACCATGATCTGGAGGCAACTTTCTGCTGGTTGAAAGGGAAACAATGGACAACCAAAGAGGCAACCAGCTAAACAGCTTCTGGCAATGGAAAAATGGGTTGCTCGTGGCCCCTGCCCAGGTGAAAGAGTGCTCGCCAGCGGTGGCAATGACGAGGCCTGTGCAGGCCGGATCTTTCGAGCAGGGAAACCACGAAAAAAACCAACCACCTGAAGGCGTAGTGGCCCTTTCTCAGGCGCGGCTATGGCTTGATAATATTTGACTGGATCCCGCACATATAATTCATCTGCCTGCAACTGCGTTTCTCACTCGCTTCAAAGCCAAGGAGCATGAGCTTTTGTCACAATAGAGAATCTGTTCTGCCGTGCTTGCATGTTGCCATTGTTCAAGTGACCATGGCATTCCTTGAGCAAAGCAAAGGTAACATGCTGGCGTGACACCCTTCATGAGGTACGAGATGACACGCGGCTTTTCATAGCCCCTTTGCACTTCGCACACAATAGAGGAAGGCATGATTCGCCACACCCGTGTCCCAGCCCCGCATGCAAAATGTAACTGAGCGCCTAGAATGATGGGAAGTAGGGTAAGCACCACTCGCAGCCTTGGAGCACTGAGGCAGGTTTCCTACTCTATATCCCACTCACCCAGCCATGAACTGTGGATCTGAGTTGTCACCGGAAAACAGGAAACAGTTTTGCCTGTGGTCAGCCAAAGTTGTTACCTTCCCTACCGTCAGCGTTGCAAGCTTCGCTAAGCATGGAACTCTGTGCGCTGGCCCATTAGTAGCCAGGCGGCGGCCACCTTGGCGGGACCAACGCCCTGGGCTTCGTATCAAAATTGGACCAAAAAGTCAAACGATATCGCCGCATGCTGGGAGCCCCACGGTGAACAGTGGGCTGGAGGCCTCCAAGGAAATTGTCAGCCGCCAAATGGCGCAGGCTTAGCCGAAGCCGTTGTTTTGCATCCCTGATCCATCTAAGCAGCACCACCATACTCCTCAACTAAGGGTCTGAGGTCCGTGGCTCAAAATCCTTGGCGTCTGCAGGTTGGCCATGCAGGTTGGACGAAAGAACATAGTTTGAGTCAAAACTAATTATTGTGTCTCCCAACAAAAATGTAAATTTCGCGCTGGTTTCCCCTCAAAAACCACTCTAAAGGGGGTACCCCACCCATGTTAACTGAGGATGAAAGGCGTGTGCGGAGTCGTGCCTTCACCGTCTCTGTAAAGGAGGCAGCGACGAAGCGGAGACTCACCAAGCCAAGCACTGTCACCATTGACCTTCCAGCCATGGACATGGGCCAGTGGCTCGGGTTTTCGGACCAACATGCAACTCTGTATTAAAGTGCCCTGCCCCAAACCATGTAAACAATCAAAGGGCAAATATCTGAACATATATTTATGGTTGGGACTTTTTTTGGCCTTACCCGAGTTTTGATTGTGGCTCACATGCATCCACAAGTAAAACCGCGGGCACATTTAAAGCTGGAGCAGCCTGACACTTTGTTGTCACACCTCTCAACATCTACGTCGTGAATCTTTCTGGCTGTGCTCTATCCAAAACTTGGGAAACCAAGAGTCGTCCAACATTTGCTAGCTGGTGCCTGCTGAACCTCCCTTTCGTTCAACCGTTCCCAAAACAACAAGCCAGTTGGCTTTAAGAGGAAGTTTGAATTGGCCCAAGAGGCGATGTTGAAACAAACTCAAAGCGTAGGAAGCCTTTGGACAGACTTCCGGACCCGAACTGTCCAGGCCCAGCACCAAGGCATGTGTTTTGTGCCTGGGAACCCGGGCCGCAGCAGGCCCAACAACATCAGGCGCCGCAGCTTGGGGAACTCAGGCCATGAGTAGTGTGTACAACTTACATCCGAAAAAATGAGCGTCCAAGCCGACAAAAAGAACAAACTGATTTCAATCCGGTTTGGAAATAAACGTGGTCCCTGGATGGCTTGGCTCAGCTGTATGGCAACACCTGAGGCTTCCCACGCCCCAAGCACCGCCGCTGGGGCTTTGCCTGCACGCTTGCCGAAAATCCCGCTGGGCGAGCCACACAGAAACAAAACCTTCCCCAGAAAATGGCCCTGACGTTGCCTAGAATCCCCCCACAAAACCGAACGAACATGCATCTTCACACACAGCCACCTAAAAAGTCTTTGCCCAAACACAAGGGGGAGTCACCGCTGCATGCTTACAGCGAGCTCAAGTGCCACCGGTTTCTCTATACGAAGAACGCCAGTACAGTGAAGCCTACTAGGTGCCTTGAACTGTCGAGCAAGTGCCCTAGCTCTGTTGACTCCCCAAAGGCCTTGCCAAAACATGAAGCGGAAGCTGTCAAGGCTCATTTGCTGATCCTTCGCAGTGGCCCAAAGCACAGCACATAATCTGGGGGAAAAATGAAGTTGTCCCGGTTGGCCTGCGCAAGACTTGCCGCAGCTTGCCGAAGACCACAGTGATCCTGTGGCTTGTCATCACGCCCGTGATGCAAGAAAGAACTCAGACTGCATTGCCCTTCTGACACTTCATGTAAAAAGCAGTGAAGCAGCACTTGGAGCCCAGCAGCATCTGCACCTGGAAAAATGGGGCATGCTAACTGCTGCATCAATTCTTCACCAATTCCGCGTGCCACACATGTGTTGCCAGGAATTGAACATTGGCAAACAGGCTTCATGAAACTAAAACACATTGCCATTGGTGCTAAAGCAGTGCCGTCAGAGACTTCTTAGCCATCCCACTTCGGCCGTGCACCAAGCTGCTTAGCCAAGGCCCATGCCAGGGCAAAGAGTGTCACATCCACGTGGTTACTTCCTGGGCTAGCCCACAACGACATGTGGCTCTCACGTGTCTCAAGCTGCAAGTCGTAAAGCGCATCGGAACACCCCAGGCCTGGGGACAGGATCGTCTTGTTCAGGATGATGCCCAAAAAGGATCTGAGCGGCAACACTTCCACAAATGCCACCTGTTAATATGCCTTGGTCTTCTGCTTGTTTGCCAAACGAGCTATCCTTGGCCCCCGGCACCACATACCATAGCAAAACCTCAGAGGCGCCAGAGGCATGGTCATGACTGACCATTTGTCACTGACCCGTTTTAATTTTGGCGTGGACGGCGAGCTGCAAACATGCAGCCCTGTGAGAAGGTGAGATGGCAAGCAAACTGCCCGGGCTCAGAGAATATATTCAACACGAACGGCCTTCGACTATTCAGTTCAGCTTGACATCAGCTTGTTACATGCAAACACGGTTGGCCATGATTGCCAACCACGTTTTGCTCGATTCAATCCGGCAGCTACACAAACCGACCAAGTCAGCCTGGCGAGGCGTTTACTTCTATATAAGTTGACTTAAACGCCTCAAGCTGTGAGTCAAACAAAAGCTACAGTACCCTGGTCTGGCTCACAGTCTTGCGCAGAATATGTCGCAGGACGCACTGCACCCAGTGCCACCCAAATCTGCCAAGTTGCCAGAAAAAGCAACTTTGTTCTAGCCGATCGTTGTATCCTCGGGCGGGAATGCACAACCTGGCACCGCTCTCAGCACATCAAGCCGAGGCCTTCCGCGCTCTTCATCTGAGGGCGGGGCATTGACTAGCAGTCCGGCTGCACTGCAAAGCGAGCCTTCGGCTGCCGTACAAAACAAAAGGTTGCCGTAGAACAGTCGTGCGCAAGCGTTTTGTTGAAGCTGACTTTCCACAGCATGGCCAATGACTGCCGTCTGTGGCTGCCGCACTTTCGACGAAGAACTCGCTCCCTCCCCCAGCCGTGCGCGCGCGCATGTGTGTGTGTGTGTGTGGCCTTTGGCAGTCCACAGGGCGTGCCACTTGCAGGAAGCATGCCGCAGCAACTTGCTCTGAATATGGCCAAGTCCACAGATCTGGGCTTGCAGCTGGCCGCTCAAAGTCTTGGAACGACGCTGCCAGGCAGATCTTCTCCTTTTGCTGGCTCTCTGGCGAGTCAGCTTGATACTTGTGCATAGCTTGTCGTCAAACCGACTCTAAGCATTGGAAATGGAGCCACTGTGCGCAAGAAGTGGGACACGAGGCCCGGGTTTCATGAACGACTTCTGTGGAGGAGCTTGTTCGCCCAGGGCGGATTTAAGCTTGAAACTAGAGCATAAGTTGCACAACGTGACCCTTCACACGCTGCCATCCGGCCTGCAGTGAATGTAGGCAATAGACCCTTCAACATTACTAGAACTACAGAGACCTCGGGGCCCCTCCGCCATTAGATGGAGCGACGGTATGCACTGATTGACCGGTCAGTTGCCATCTTGACTCCAGGGTCGCTTCCACGTCCTTGCACATGTACCAAAGGCCCATGTGTTCCGTGAGTAGGACATCTGGCCTGAACTCAGGGTCATTTCTTCCGCTTGGGAGCAATGTAGTGGCGACATCCTGCCTGTTTTGCCTCCTCTTGAAGTGCTTCAAAACCTCTGCCCAGGGTCCTTATTTTGGCCTCAGGCACGAGGACAGGTCCGAACAAAACAGCCACAGCGAGCCCCGTCTGCCTAGCTTTGCATCCACCCAGGTGTCCTCTCCGGGGATCTGTGGCAGCGATTGGTCGGCCAAGCAGGGAAGGGAAAAATGCCTGCTGGAGCCTGCAAGAGAAATGCCTGCGTACATATGCGTGAATCAACATCCTCGAGCAGCTTTCGTGCTTCCAGTGGTCTAGCAATTGAGCACGTCAAGTTCGAGCCACCTCATCTCGCACGAACAGGTTTCAGCTGGCCGCATGCAAATGGTTTCCCACGATTTCCCGTGCTCCACTGGCGCTGGCCCAAAGCAGCCGCACTTTTCACCCCGAGTCGTCCAAGGCGAGGTCCCGGCCCCTGGGAGGCACCACCTGCGGCCTCGAGGCTGGGGAGCTGGAGGTCAGTTACATGGCCTGATGGCCTTCACTCACTTCCATGTATGTGTGCAAACTTGGGCTGAAAGCCCCGAACAAAGCAAGCCAACACATGACCAGGTCTGACCATTGCAAGGTGAATGCCTTAATCAGAGCTCATTTGGGCTCCCTCCCCGCTCCCCTTTCCCCGCCCCGTGAAGAAAGCCGCTCAGACATGACCATTGCAAGACCGGCCAGATGCTCACATTGACTGAATCGAAATGCTACACATGGTGAGGCTCGGGCATGACAGCACCTGATCAGGTGGCATCACACTACACATCACACCAGCGGGGAACATGATGTCCAACAGCAATTTGCCCATATCTCTGGAGCCAAGTGGCTAGCCTAAAGTGAGCAAACAAGCAGCAAGCATCAACTCAGGTCAGCACGAGGTACAGCCGCCGGATTGGGAGGTTCTGGGCGCAATTTGCTCAAGATATGTTCGCCGCTGTCATTTCCCTTCGCCATCGCCATGCCCGCTCACTGGTTTTTCGCCTTTTATTTTTTCTGGTTCGAACAGCCCCCGTGTCACAAGCATGGCTCCAGAAGCATTGCGCCAAATCGGTTCTGACCACTGAGGCTTGGGGCACTCCACTCTGAGGCGCATGCTCCAAGTCCATTGGCTCGCCTGGCGATGGTGACAAGTGTGGAATGGACCGACGTAATGTCCTGGGATTAGTACAGGGGGGACCCCCCTAACAATGGGTGCACCTGGAAAAGTGAGTTTTGATTTGGTTGAGTATTGGCAGCCTGAGTTTCATAGTATTGCTGGAGCTTCCTTTTGAGATTTGGACCTGAGATTCCATTTGAGTTAGTATTGCTGGAGCTTCCTTTTGAGATTTGGAACTGAGTTTCCATGTGAGTTAGTATTGCTGGAGCTTCCTTTTGAGATTTGGAACTGAGTTTCCATTTGAGTTAGTATTGCTGGAGCTTCCTTTTGAGATTTGGAACTGAGTTTCCATTGGCTTAGTATTGCTGGAAAAGCAGAAAGCAGAATAGCAATGCAAGCAGCTGCCTCAGAGTTGTCAAAAGTGACAGCTGCAGGCAAACAGCCTCAGAAAGCGGCCAGCTAGTTCTGTCTTACATTGAGGCAGAGCTGTCAGAGCTAGCTTTAGAAGGCCCAGCTGCCAAAGGCTGGCCAGGTGTGTTGGCCCAGAGCTGTTACAAAAACATGTCAGCACTGTGCAGGCAGTTGATGGCAGAAGTTGAGAAAGCTGATGCAGACGTTGTCAAAGCAAAACAAAGGGAAAAGAAGCTTGAAGAGCAGCAGGAGCAAAGCATATGGAGATTCTTGCCAAGACCACAGATCAGAACTCTAAGACAGCTCAAGCTGCAAAGGCAGCTTTTGAACATAACTCCCAGTATTTCACCCACAAAGATTTGAGCCCGGGAGGCAGTTTGAAGAGCCAAAGCTGCACTTTTCAGGTGCTCAGCCAAAGAGGCAGTTTGGAGAGCACTTTTCAGGTGCTCAAAGTGCAGGTACACAGCCTGCCTAGCTTGCTCACCGGACAAAGCCTTCAGCTACTGGGTGAGGAAAGAAGCAGGTAGTGTGAGCAAGGTGCCAAAGATCCAGGGACCAGGTGTTGGCGTGGCTATCTCTCCTCTCCTTTCTCTCTTTTGTTTTTTATTTTTTGTTGCTTTTTTTTTTGGGGCGCGGGTGGCGGGGGCTTGTCTTTATTCCAGGTGCATTTACTATTTTTTGGGGGCCACCCGTTTGTCTTTATTCCGGGTGCATATTGTAATCCTAGGTGGACATGAAGCTGGGAGCGGCTTTGCTTGAACAGGATGAATTGGTCAAGCAGCTGGGAGCCCAACTCCAGCAAGGAGTAATCACGAATTCATAATGGGCCTCTGGAACAAACGCTGGGATGCATGCACTGGCGACCGAGAACATGTTCTGTCAGCGGGAAAGGTTCCAACCGCTTGCATTCATAGTCTACTCTACATATGTAAAGCTGTTCGGTAGAGCTGGAAAAATGGCACTGGCATGCTGTGTAAGTCAAGAAGGTGGTGGAGCCTCATCGCAATCAACTCTCACCCATGCGTGTATATATATATATATATTGACATGTAACAAATCACACCTTAGCCTGAGGCATGTTTGCCAAAAAACAATCTTCAAGTATTGGGTTGCTGTGTGGTGCTGCACGTGCGCCGGGCAAATGCATCCCCGTACCCCTCCTCTTTCCCTAGTGCCATGGCCTGTTTGCATTCCGTGCAGATCCATGTTGAGCCGGCTGGTGCTTCCAAAATATGATGGCCATAAAAATCAGCCAACAACACATGACCCAGAGGATGTATTGCAATCATTGGACCAATTGAACTCTGAAGAAGCTTGCGCCCTGACAAATTGCGTGCAACTGCCAGACCGTCTCAGAAGAAAAGTAGGCCTTCCAGCCTGCCGAATGCGTTTGTCTAGAAATAGGGGACCCACAAGAAAGGTTGGCCTTTGGCTTCCCTTTAACACCAACCAAACGGGGGTACCCTCAAAAAGAGACAGGCGCAAATGCAAGACTGCAAGCTGGAAAGGTTCCTCCCATCCCGGCCTTCTTAGACTTGTTGGGGTTAGGTGCTGCAGCCCTGGCGCGAGAACACCCAAAGACCCCCCCTGAGTGCGAGGCTTGCGGTTTTGTCTTGCGACACCAAATCCATGGGTTGTTAAAAATGCCCCTCTGGCACGCGTGATGCAAATGGGGACGCCCGCCACTCCATGCAGGCATACATTGAAGTTGGAAGAAACATCACTGCGGAAAGACGGGGCAAGACACAATAGAATAACGCAAGGGGCTAAATAACCACTAACAGTTTGCCAATCTCATCATGACAACACATGGTTTTCAAGTACCTCGCCCTATTCTAATTTCTTAGGCCCGAAGCTGCAGCTTGGTTGCGCTCCTCCCCTTTTCTCACGGCCCCCCAACACCCACTTACTTTTGGCCCTACCGCGATGAACATAAATGTGTACATAATTAAGCCAAAAAATATTTGTGCCTCCAGGTGGTGTTGCCACCGACTAAAATTGCCAATTGGGTCCATCGGGGCGCTTCTGACTTGCTACGCCTGGCACGCAGCACCACGTCCTTCTGAAGCTCCGCAAATGCAACGGCGGCCGCGCTGTGCTCTGCAATGGCCTCGTGGCTGACTTCTTGCACAGTCGAACACGAAACCCGGACTCAAGAAACAGAGACGGAGAGGAGGAGAGAAAGAAGAAAAAAACACATATAGAGAGGGAGAGAGAGAGAGCGAGTGAGATAAAGAGAAAGCAAGAGAAAGAGAATGAGACATTGGGAGCCAAGCAAGGCTGCAGCGGCCACGCCAAAAAACCTGTTACTTAGCCTTTTGCCGGTCAATTGCTGCTTAGCATGAGGTACCGCAACATGCGCAACACCACAGCGGCACAAAGAATGCAAAACAGTCTCGTTTCAACTCTCTTCACTCCCGGCGCCTTGTCTGGACGCACCTCCCCCACAAAGACGGCGTTTTCCCACTCACCATCCAGGCAGAAGAACTTTACGGTGGCTTGGTAGCCACCAATCACCTGCCGTGGCAATCCGGCGACCTCAATGCCTCGCTTCAGTTCAGATGATTCGGGCACCAACGGCACCATCGTTCCAACCTTTCATAGGAGCTAGCATGACATGAGTAGCCTACCTTATTTTTTCCTCAGAAAGCAAGCTGTGACTGCGGGCCAGCCTGACAGTCTCTCGTTGCAGTTTGGCAGAACCAATTGGGCTGAGGGACCCTGCGAATTATTCCAAACACTTTGCATGCATCCGCAACAAAGTTGGGAGGGCGTGCATCCAGGAAAGAGCCTTTCCCGCACAGTAGTAAATAGTTACTGGAGACATCATGAATGTAGCTTCCCAATTGTTGCTGCCAAGTTCACTTTTTTGCAGTCATAGGCGACATCACCTCCAGGGCTCGTGCATGCAACGTGTCACGAAAATGGCGCTGCAATAAACATCAATGAGAGTAAAACGAGCAAGCAACAAGCTGATGTGCCAACAAGCTGACACATAAATTAAACCCGCATGCCAGTCAGCAAGCCACCAATTCAACCAGCAACCCACGCAAGCAGCAAGCCGGCCAGCGCGATTTTCAATAAGGCGAAGCAGAGTGATCCTCACATCAGATGAGCAAGACCCTAGGAAATGCATCGCACTGATGCTTTGGCCAAAGACAAAGTCAAATCGAACGCGGTGGGCGAAAGGATAGAAACCTCGACCTGTGGGCGATGTGTTTCTGCATGATCCTTCCGTGTGGCAACACCATACCTGGAGGGCTCCCACGGATGTCGTCCAAGCGGACCAGCCACCAAAACCGTTGTCGCTTCAGAATTGAAAGGCTCCAATGAAAGTGCTATTTGAAATATGAACCGGCAATTCAATTTCACATGAATTGAAGTAATTATTGTCGAATTCTAATCTAGAATCTAGCGTTGGGAGATTGGGGCTCTGGATCATTAACATGTATTAACATGTTGTTGTATTGTTAGGATGACAAGACTACAAGGCATCCTTTCAGAGAGCGGGCTGCATGTCGACAGGCAAGCAGACCGGATACTGCAAAGCATGAAGCACACGCCGTGTTTCCCCTCGAAAGGTTACTGCGGTGCACATTGCAACAGTGTGTGTCTGTGTGTGCGCGGTGGCATTGGGCAATCCACTTGAATGCAGTTCATACGTAGCCAAAAGCTATCCCTACTGCTGTTTACTTGATGGGTGCTGCGGCTCATCACTGTCCATTCCTCCCTTGCCAGGGACACACGTATGGCGCGCTCTCCCCGCCTTTGTTCATCGGTTTTCGCACGATCTTGGCAACAAATCCAATCAGCTCCTGCAACTATGAAGGGTGCCCCTGTTCTGTAACTTTTCCGCACACAGTCAAGACGACAGTCTGTGCGTTGCAGTCATGCGTTTTTGCATTTTCTAGAATAAATCCAAAACATGAATGAGGGATCCTTAAGTAAGGGACCATCATCATGGTGAGCTCGTTTTGCCCGCAGGTGAGCCCGTCATAAAATGAGCAAACGCATTGGATTGCTTTGCAATCATAGCTCTCCTGCTTCGCTTGCTTCGAGACTTCCTCAGTGTGGACGGATGTGGCAACGGAAATCGGCAACCAAGGCAGACTTGACAACTGGAAAGCAGGGCTGTTAAAAAATAGGGGGATCCCTTGTCCTACTCCGTAAACCGTGGGACGAAACTGCAAGGGCCACTGCTGACTGGAAACTTTGAACCCAGGAAAGGTTCGGGGTCCTAACACACACGCTCTGACTCAAACTTCTCCCAATTGATTAGTCGGTTGCTAGCGCAAAGCATCCCAGCAGTCACCTTCATTATGCAAACTGGCTTGTCGCCCGAGAACTTGCACATGTGCTAGACTCCTTGGTCCGTGTTTCAAGACGGGTCGAAGAGAACCATTCAATCAGCAAGACACGCTCGCCTGAATCCCAAGAGGCGCCAAACCGGGTTCGCTGAGCAAATTGGGCCAACTGGACACTTCGGATGGACATTAGCCAGTGCCCGTTAAGGGCCCTTCGGCGGGGGTGTTGGTGTTCTACTTGGTTTCAGCTCAGAACGGGTCCCTTCACCTGGCCAGGAGTGCTTCAGTGACTTCAGTGAAGCGTCCCCATAGATTGCCGAATCCTATGGCTGAACTGCAGATGTTAAATCGGGATCGGCTGAATCTCAAAGGCAAAGTTGCCGAAGGGCAGTTGTTGTTTCCACTGGTTCTCTGACCACCTTCAATTTAAACATCTTTGCGCACTTTGCTCACCCCGTGCGAGTCACGTGAATGACTCACGCAAACGCCACCGAGCAATGGAAAAGTAGAGCTGTCCGCGTGTCTTGGTATGGTTTCCGGCATGAAATGAATGAAACAAGGCGAAGCCTCTACTTGGGCGCCACTCAAAAGCAGGCCCCCCAGCTAATTTCATTCCAAGGTGCGCCCAGCTGACCTGCAGGGACGACAATCTCCTCAGAGCAAAGAAGGCTCAAGCTTTGTGTTGCTCTGATGCGTCTGCGTCAAGATCCAAGAGGCCTATCACATCCACATGCAAAAGCAAGCACGGTGCACGAAACATTGAAGGCCAATCAATACTGTCACCAATCCGTGGCACCGAACACATCCCAAAGTCAACAACTAAAGAATGCATCGAATGCTCTCAGATCTGTGGCAGGAGTTCCGCGGTCAGTCTGGAAATCATGCAGGTCTACAATCTAAGCCTGACTTCGCACCCATCATTTGTTTGCCCGAGGCATGTGGCCTGCTCACAATCGAGCTGGCCAGGCGGTTTTGTTTGTTCTCAAACTGCATACCTTTCCTGCAAAAAAGGTGGAGCACGTTGTAAATCTTTCAAGGTATTGCAACACCGGTGAACTTCTCCTAGGAACTGCTGCCAAGCTGCTCCATTGGGCTGCGCCCTTGCTTTGGGTGTCGCCGCGAGCCTGGGCGTCGGGCACAGAGAGCAGCAGATCCATTGGAGGCCCGATTGGGAGGGAGCTGCCTGCAGCCCCGTCAGGTGGAATTTGTTCAACTCCACTTTCTGAAATAATGATTTCAGCAGTTAGAGTTGAGAGCTCTGGGGGGGGGGGGCTAATCGTCAACTGCCATGGTTCAAAGCATGACAAACCACGAACGCCAAAACTGGCAACTGCATGTGGTCTATTTCGGCCTAGTTGGCCAACATGAGCCAACCTTACCAGTTTCAACTGGGTCGTTGGAATTTGCTCACTGCTGCAATTCCACCACGAGGCCTTCTCAGTTTCACTTGTAGGGGCAGTTGCCCTTGTATCACAAAATGGGAACCGTCCCGCATTCCCACAGCCCGGACTTACGAGGGGAAGAATGAACATACTGAACAAATCCATGCACCAGTTGGTAGTATTCATGGGATTCATCCATCCCAACTGGGGAAGGTTTTTGTCCATCCACAGTATTATTGGAGCAGCCCTGCGAAACACAATCAGAGACTGAATTACACGCACTGCCGGGCACCAACCTGAGCACGGGCTGCTGCTGGAACATTCAGCAAGCACAGCGCCACCGGGATAGTTCCCTCATATCCTTTGTGATACCTGTCGTAGCCTGTTTACTCCTAGGATGATGGACCCCAAAAGCGTGATGCAATCAAGCTGGACACCGACGTGCCTGTGCCACCACGCCCTCGTGGACGGGGAACTGCACGCCCCAGTCTGCAAATTGGAGATCCACAAGGCCACCCTTTTGAACGTTTCCCACGGCAGCAGCCCCAAAGAACGGCCCCCGTGACGGACATAGCGCTGATCCGAGAGGTCATGCGGTCCAAAGGGCAACGCAGGATCTCCAAACCCATCCAGCTCCGCGAACTCCGTGTCAGGCCTGAGGCGTCGGACGATTTTTTTCACATAAGGAAAACGCTTTCATGTTGACCCAGCCAATCGCAACATAAAGCATGCGAGGGTCGTTATGTTTTGTTGTACTGATCATTGTTTTGCGCTTGCTTCGTCAACCTCCAAAAAAATGCACGTCGGCTTTCGTGGGCGTCGCAATGTCTGCTCCTGCTGTCAAGATGTGCGGGCCTCGCAAACCATAAAACTCGATGGTTTTCTCCAAACACGCGCTATTGGCTAAAGCGCCTTTTCTATGCCGAGATGGCTGCGCAGGGCACAACCTGTTCAAAGTCTGCACCCCTCAGGGGCCGATTCAAAATGCCCGCTTCTTGCTTAGGCACCTCAAATGGTCAGGCCTTTGTGGCTCTCCCGTGTTGACAAAAACAAATATCAGCCTCAAAAGGTGCCCCGAAGGGTGCCACCAGGCTGGATCTTTGTCACCACGTCGCAGTCGTTCTCCGGCCCCTTGACCTTCACGATCGCCAACCTCTGCTCCGTGACCGCAGCCACAAGAGCCTCGCCTGTACGTGGCGAGTCTTGCCAACGCCCCGCCTCTCTGCCAACGCCTTTGCCCAAGCTGTCCACCGTCATCACCGTGGGTTTGACCTGCCCCCCTCAGAAACTCTGCCAAGGTGGCCGTGCACATAGCGTAGTACTCGCTGGAGCTTGTGTCAAGGCCACCACCTGTGCGTCGTTCCCTTCACCATGAAGGTATGCCCTTGCTTCACCACAGATCCCGTAGCACTCCTTCTCGTTGCAGCATCCTCGATTGGCCCCGTCGATCCAGTCCTGCTCCTTGGGCTTCTCCTCGGGTGTGTCCAACCCCTTTGTCCGGTCGCTGAAGCCCATTCCCTTGATCAGGATCTCCGCATGTCTCGCGTCTGCTTCCACCTCCAGCTTCCAATCCATTCCATCTCGGACATACTTCACCGTGCGGCTCAAGAAGAACAACTGAACCAAGCCAACCGCTTCACCAGGATCTTCTTGCCGAACATCGGCATGGGTTTCACCCATCGCTTGCTTACCTGTCCTTCTCTGCTCTCAGTAAGGTCTGGCCGTCCCGCCTTGAACCTGTTGCACTGCTCGGCCACGTACTTCGGCACCCGCGCGCAGATGGGGTGATCTTTAGGAAGACCGCTGCCTCTGCCAGACCGTTCGCCCTAGTCTCCCCCGCTGGCGACTCCTCCGGAACAGCCTTCCTCAGGCCTCGTGCCTGCCCATCTTCATCTTGACTAGCGCTTTTCTCCATCGCTCTTCAGCACCACCTCCGGATACCCCAGCACCTCCAAGTACCTCGTGAGCGTCTTCTGTGCGGTCGGCCACCACGCCCTTTTTGTATAGCGGTTGCCACCATCATCCTCACCAAGGTAGAAGTAGTCCGTCCTCCTCATGGTTCACCCTTGCGTGCTTCTGGGCCATGCCCAGAGCCTTCACACAGCTCTGGCACCAGCTTCTGTGGCTGTGCACTCGGTTTATGCTCCTTTTGTGACGCTTGCTGGGCGCTGTCGCTGTTTTAACTTTCCAGGTTGCCTCAAGGGTTTTTAACTACTTGTAGCTTCCAGCTTCGCTGCGTCATGCTGCGTCTGCCTCCTCCTCATACTCTTCATCATCCCTGTCCAGTTGTTGATGCCGTGCCCTGTCATCATACCTCTGCATCGCCACCTCATATGTTTGGCTCATCATCTTGCAGAGTTGCCAATCACCCGGGCCTTCTTGATCCTCTGCGGGTAGGTATTCTTGCCCTGGTTGATCGGCTCCGCTACCATCCAAACATGCGCTATTGGCTAAAGCGCCCTTTTTTACGCCGAGATGGCTGCGCCGTGCACAACCTGTTCAAAGTCTGCATTTTCCAGTTTGCATCTACATCATCGGCGTTCCGAGGAAGAGTCGTGAGATCTGGTGGCACACTATGGAAGCACCCGGGCCCACCGCTGGGTGTTCGGATCCACCTCCGCGCAAGCAAACATAGGCACCAGGGGGAGCTTTCGACAGCCTATGCCCTTGACACAGGCATCCCGGCGTTTGCACATCTCACGCACAACCCCGGAAAACCGAATGCCCCGAATCCCAAATTCCCCAAAACCCAAAGGAAACTCAATCAAACTTGGCCCATGCCTGCCAGGCTTCGGCCAACCTTGGATAGGCAAGGCATGGCTAAACATCCTGAAATTCCCTGCTGAAAACACTGAGGGATGGTATTACCACCAACCATGGATTCAACCCACACGTTTGAGGGTTAATTGATCGTTCAGGATTTTCATCACGATTGAGTCTTTGCCATTCTGTTCATGGGGTTGAACCCTAGGGCCTAAGGTTCCCGGCAACACTTGGGATATGTGCCATGCTCATGGCAGTGATTCTTCTCCGCTCGTTTCCGGCTGATTTGCAGCATGGAAGCACTCAAGAGTGCCTTCAGCTCCTTGCGGCCGAAAAAGGCGAGTTCTTTAGCATCCAAAATGTGTAGGGATCTATAAGCATTCAATTTTGCCTTGAACCCTCAGTTTAATAATCACAGAACCCAACAACTTATGAACGGCGGAAGAGGACGCGATCGGACTGCACATCCTGTGAAGGAGGCAAAAGTTTGGGTTGAAAGTGGGTTCTGGCTTCGGGTTGGGCTTAGGTCGGTTTAGGGCCGGGTGTTGAACTGAACGGCAGACTTCCTAAGCTTCCATGACTGGTTGGAAGGAGGTGGTGCTAACAGGATTTAAGTCAGCAGAGTGAGCCAGTGGCAGCTGTAAGGAACGTAATCAGCAGTCAATGCGAAAGCAGCACTAGAAAAATGCTTAACTCAAATGACACGCATGCTTCCGGCTAGGTCCTGGAGAAACTGACACTGAAGATGGACTCTAATTCGAGATATCCAGTCACTATCATTCACTCCAGTTCGACCCGTTCCGCCAACTGTTTCGCGCATGGCTTGATGCCACCAAACCTTTTGTGCATGCCGGGCGGCTGTTCATCCTCACCCACCCTGAGCACGGACCCCGCTGACTGAAAACCCCCGTGGCCCCCAAAAACGGGGTCCCCTCTTGGGAGTTTCCTCTTGAAAAATGATGGCTTGGGCTGCGACATCTGCAGAGTAAGTGAGATAAGCATGTGAAGGAATAGGCCACCTGCGGAATGGGCCGCCACATAACTTGTAGAACTGTCCAATACCCTAATCAAGTTTGGCAAAATTCAAACTCAATCGATTGACACAGTCTACAAACGAGGTTCGCCCCAACGCACGACGACCCTCTACAAAGCTTGGCTGGCCTCATCATGACGCAAGCTCCTAAGATGGTATGGTATGGGTCTCCAGGAGGCTTCTCTGTCTGCAGTGCAAAGTAAAATGTCATGTTTCCTGGAACTTCATGCATCGACTGCAACGCGGCAGGCTATGTTACTAACATGCACTTCAGAATGTCATTCGGACCATTCAATAAACAAGCCCGGCGTAGACATGTGTGGGCACCTCAGGGTTTGAGAATTTAACCGTTCGAAGGCCAGCAAAGCCTGCTCCGACTGGGGTCCACGCGGCTCAAGCGGCACCTTTGCAAGTCCATGGCAGGCTGTGATGCCGTGTCAGCATCAGTAACGTTTGTAGTGCCTCTGAGAAGAAGACGCAAGACAACCCATGTAGAGGGGCCCGACAACAAAGACACAAACAGCCTTGGCTGGTTGCCGCAGGCAAGAACGGCCATGCGGCAGTGCCCCAACAAAAGCAAGAGCACAAGAAGCACACATACTACAAACAAGGCACACACGCATATATATATATATAAACGCATCAACGACACACTCGGGATACTACGAAGTACATATACATATCATATACATATACATATGTAAATAAAAAAGCACACGTAGGATCACATGCGCACAAACCCCGCATATAAAAACCCGCACGCACGCGTGCACGCACACACCACACACACACACATGTAACACACGTCACACACACGTAACACGTAACACGTAACACGTAACACCCACACACTTACACACTCACACACTCACACACTCACACACTTACACACTTACACACTTGCACACTTACACACTTACACACTCAAACGCGCACACAAACGCACACACACACAAACACACACACACAAACACACACACACACATACACAAACACACAAACACACACAAACACTCACACAAACACACACACAAACACACACACACAAACACACACACAAACACACACACACACACAAACACACACACAAACACAAACACAAACACAAACACAAACACAAACACAAACAAAAACAAAAACAAACACACACACACACACACACACACACACACACACACACGCACGCACGCACGCACGCACGCACGCACGCATGCACGCGCACGCGCACGCACGCACGCACACACAAAGACACAGACGCAGACGCAGACGCAAACACCCAGACACACAGACACACAGACACACAGACACACGGACACAAGGACACACAGACACACAGACACACAGACACACAGACACACAGACACACAGAGACACAGAGACACGGAGACACAGAGACACAGAGACACAGAGACACAGAAACACAGACACAAGGACACAGAGACACAGAGACACAGAGACACAGAGACACAGAGACACAGAGACACAGAGACACACAGACACAGAGACACAGAGACACAGAGACACAGCGACACAGACACAGAGACACAGAGACACGGAGACACAGAGAAACAGAGACACAGAGACACAGAGACACAGAGACACAGAGACACAGAGACACAGAGACACAGAGACACAGAGACACAGAGACACAGAGACACAGAGACACAAAGACACAAAGACACAGAGACACAAAGACACAGAGACACAGAGACACAGACACGCAGACACAGACACGCAGACACACAGACACACACACACAAACACACACACAAACACACACACACACACAAACACACACACAAACACAAACACAAACACACACACACACAGACACACACACAGACACACACACACACACACCGACACACACACACAGACACAGACACACACACACACAGAGACACACACACTCACAGACACACACACACACTTACACTTACACTTACACTTGCACTTGCACATACACTTACACTTACACTTACACACACACAAACAAACACACACACACACACTTACACACACACACAAACAAACAAACAAACAAACAAACAAACAAACTAACGCACACAAACACAAACTCTCAGAAACGCCAACCTTCAAACCAACACAAAAACACACAAACACAATCACAAACATTCAGCACAAGCACGGCCAAATATATAAAGAAACAACAAGCAAAAGTACAAACACATACAATCAAACAAACACACGATGACCCCACATTTCACATGCACACTTGCTCACGCATGCCCACGTGCCCATTCGTACACAGGCAAAGGCAAGCATGCACGTGTCCACACACGCACACACGTTGTCTCTGCCGCACGCACACGCACACACACACACAGCACGCACGCAAGCACGCACCACGCAAACATACTATATCTCACATCCCCCCTTCTCACACACATAAACACACTTCGTCTCGCTCACGCACAAGCTCACAGCCTAGCTCTCACACATACACACACACACACACACTCTGTCTCAAGCTCTCCATTTTCCTCCGGTTTGGTTCCCCTACCCGGCCTGGGCGTTTTTCTTGGGTGGCACCAGGTGGGCACCTGCGCAAGACGGGAGCCCCTTGCAGGTTTCACCTTGCGACAAATGGGTGTCTTTTTTTTTTGCTTACCGTTTGGGGTTGGCTTTCAAGAACATTAGAAGGAAACCAAACTCCTTCTGCTTGCTTTGGTTTGGGGGGTGTCCCCTATTGGAGACAAACCCAGTTCACAAACAGACCTCAGCCTTGGATCTAGGGGCCTCCGGGTCCGGAAGAGCATGAGTTGGAACTAGGGGCTTGGCGGCAATGTCTTCCACACCGTTGGAAGGCTTGGGGGCAGAAGGCAAGTGCATGGCCAATAGGCTTCATACGCAGACCTGCGCCCACTAAAGGACAGCCTTTAACATCCATATGAAATATGGCTACCAGGCAAAGCGCGTGCGCGGGTTGTATCCGGTTGTATCCGTGCGATGCCCAGCTGCAATATTTTCCAACATTGAAACACCCAGTTCAAGCTCCAGGTGGAACAGCGCGGACGATCCGATCGCCATCTCAATTGTTAAAGACAAACCCATCACAAAGTGCGAAAGGGTTTGAAACAGTATTTCGGGAGAGAATAAACAGGCCCTAACCCACCAACAAGAAGAGACAGTTTAAGCCCCCCAGTCCCAAGGGCAAAGTGGTGCCCTCGGCTGGCAATGAACCACACAGATAACAAACGGGAGATCCTGTTTAACCGCAAAACCCAAACAGGAAAGGGGACCAGCGCAGCCAACCAAGCAAGCGCAGCAAGCAAGCAAGCAAAGCAATTAACCAAGCGAAAGCGGAGCAGCAGCAACAATGCAATTCCCAACCCAAACCTGACCCACACCCAAGAACACCCAGCCGCCGTGGCCTGGGGCGTGGGACAACCACCCACGCACCAGGACGGCGCCGCTGAAGGCGCTTTTGCCGGCAATGGCAGATCGAGTCGACGGAATAAAACTTGAGCCAAAATACCGCGTTGGGTATTGGCGTACTACAAACTGCTATGATAAAAGTACATGCCCCCAAAAACACCCCCCTCGCCTGTACAAAGAGAAGGAGTGAATTTGGAAGGGCGCATTGGCCATATTGAAGTTGAAATGCAACAAACAAGACAAACAAAGCCGATTAGGCTACCAGGGTTCGCGACCCCATACCCGGGCACTCATTGGTGCCCGGATCCCGCCACCACCCCGAATTACGGGTATGGGGCGGATTCTCGCCGGTAGCCAAATCAAACAAGAGAAAGCAACAAAAGAAAAGAACAAAGGATCAACTTCGGAATGGCCGGCATGAAGCCAAAGAATTGTCATTTGCATTGCAACCACATTGAACCATTTGATTCAAGTGGATTTAATTTTTAATTATTAGATTAGGCGCATTGGCCAGTTGGTTGAAACATGGTGCATAGACCAATGAGCTTTGATTATAAATTAGCACCGTCTAGGCGCGCGATCACTCGAGGACAATCGCCATGGATACCACCAGCAGCGATCCGCGGTCCAGGTCCGAGTAGGACATCACCGGCAGCGGTGCAGGGCACCCGTGATCTTCACCTCGGCACCTTGATGAGCACCATCACCAGCAGCAGCAGCGGTGCAGGTGGATGCAGATCACCAGCGGCCATAGACGCCGCCGAGAGTGACTGCCTTGCTGCGGCGACGCACACCTGACAGGTAATCGCAGCTTGCGCGAATAGCGCTCAGCTACGCATGCAGTTGAGTTCTGAAATGGCGAATAGCCCAGACAAAGAAATACTACAAGGAGCATAGTCCATTTTGTGAATTCCGGAATGAAAGCATGCGCGCGTTGGCGCAGCCATGCAAAACGCATGGACAGACTTCAGGTATCACCGATGTCGTCCACCGCCGTGCCGCCCCTTCCCCTTGCTGACATTCCAGTCCCCAGGGGGGGGAGGCACTGTCTCGGCCAACTCGTCATCGTCACCCCAGGTAGGGGTATGCGGCGAGTTCGGATTTTCGAACTCGCGGGGATCACCCTGCATATGCGGCTGCCAACCCTGCGGCATTGCGCCAGGCCACATTTGTGGCATCATGCCAGCCATGGGCTGTTGCATGTATCCTCCCATTGGGAAAGCGGGATACATCGGACTCAGGAACGGGAAAGGGGCTGCCTGAGCACCCTTGTACCCCGACCCGCGAGCATCAGGCTGATACCCGCCAGTGGGAGTTCTCGATCTGGCGGATCCGCCACGACCGAACTGCCCTTGTTGGTAGCCGTATTGGCCACCCTTGCCTTTGTACTGATCACCCTTGTGACCCTTTCCTGGAAACTGGTCACCCTTGTGACCTCCACCCTTGGGCCAGGATTGCGCAGGGGCTTTGCCCTTTTGCTGATCCCCCTTAGCCCTGGAATCAGGTCGCGGGGTAGCAGACCGTTGATCTCCCCTAGGAGTGGCTGCCCGCCTGTGGTGCTTCCCAGTCGGCGGGTCAGCAAAAACAATGGCGCATTGGCCGTCGCGCTGTGCGGCGGGGACCATGTCAACCTTGTTGTTTTCGACATAAATGTATGCCTCAGCATACTCAATCGGGGCCGTGATGGATCCACCACTGGCCCGCAGAGAGTCGATACTCCAATCAAGAACAGTGGAGGCATCAAAACTTGGGTCCTCACTATTGAAGTCCGCGAGGCGTCGCTCAGCCTGCACCAATGACATTATGATGTCCGCGCGTGAGGCGCCTAGGCCATACAGCGGAACCAAATATCCGTCCTCAATTCCGATGCGGTAGGCATCATAAATATGCACAGAGAGGTAAAGGGCAAATGCTGAATTTAGACTGCCCTTTCTCGTCATATGACGACCCCATTGCGCCGCCTGTTGCGGGTGCTCGATCAAATATGTCATGACAGACATATTGTCGGGAATTGGGACGCCAGTATTGCTCTCCTCGATGAGCAGCTGTTTCGCTACCCACCGCTCGAGAGCCTCATCACTCGCACGCACACAAGCGTGAGTGTCCTTCGAGGTGACCTTTGCAACCTCCTGAAACGCAACTTGCACAATATCCGCATTGGGATTGTGCACAAGGTGCGGCGCACAGCGCAAACCGGAGATCATACAGCTGACCACCTCGCGGATCGGGTTTACCGATGCCATGAGAGGAGCCCACACGTCAGTCTCCCCTTCATACCAGCTGCTGGCACGGACTGCCTTGAGTCCGTCTAACCAGACTGGCTGCCCTCTCCTAACATGGGAGCGGACGGTGCCTGGCACCCACTCACGATAGAAAATCGGCAAATGGCAACCATTGCATAGAATGGTGCCATACATATTCAAATGCGCGCACCGAGGGCACCAGTAGTCATGCATGGGAGCTTTGTCCCATGAAAATGACACCCCTCTCCGCGGTCCCTGAACATTCAACTCACGGACCGCCCAGGGACGGATGTATATTACATCCCCTTCCTGGTGCAGATAGCATGCGCGCCAGAAGGGTGCATGTATCTCTTCCCGCACGGCAATCAAACCGCGTCGGGTTTTATAGATGCCGGCGGCCTCCTCGATGGCCATCCACTTTAGGTCAACGGCCACAACGACATGGCGCTTGTCCATGTATTTGACGCGATCGTCAACATAAAATTCGCCCTCTCTGTTGGGGCTTGGCAACTTGAGGAGAGGCACCTTTGCGCCCTCCAACCCAATCATGATCTCCCCCCTGCAGACCTGCTCAGGTCGCATGGGAAAAACTGTGATGGCGAATTTGCCGGGCCTCCGAATGCACCTCGTTTTGAGGGCGGACCGATACTCGGCCATCGTCAGCAGCACGTATCCCGTATAAGGGACCTCCGCTGCTCCCCATCGGCCTAAGCAAAGGCCCCATAGGCGTTCAGTCACGCAGTGCCCAACGCTTGAAAACCTTGAACGGCACGTCCCTCCCGATTAGGGTGGAACGCGCAAACAGCACCTCATTTGGGCGCACAGTCGTGCCATCTCCCCTCCAGACCGTCCGTATCAGGAGCTCGACTGGAGGGTACGCTGAGTTCTCCTTCGCGAGAGAACCCGCCCAAGTCGCCACCTCGACACTCGTGCACTTGTGGATCCCGTATAGGGCCTCAAAGAGCGTTGAGATTAGAGTCATTGACATCCAACCTCCCAGAATGTCTGGAACCGTCCCACACAAGAAGGGGGCCGGCTCACCGGACTTCACGTTCAACCGCGTTGGGTCAGTGTTGCCCGACAAAATTTCTAGCAGCATTTGCGATTCCCTGGAGCTTCGCCCAATCATCGCCGACGCATCCTTAATTTCGGGGAAAAAAATGGAATATGTCGTTGCCGGCAGGACAGGCGATTCTGCCTGCTGTCCCGCTCTGTGCATCAAACACAACCTCTTCACCCTCGTATGTGAGGTTGTAGGTGCTCGCAATCGGGCACACATCGGGCTTTGCCATCAGTGCCTCCTCTAGCGACGCACCAGCAGGGAGGACGCCCTGTACGTGCGCTTTGGTACCTATGGGACCAGTCCCCGCTGACATAAGCCGATAATTTTCGGCACGAAAGTATGGAAAAAGGTTCTTCATCCTCTCAATTTCCTCTTCAGTGGTACGCCACGCCTTTGCCTCATAGTAAGGCGGCTCCTGCTTTGAGGGCACTAGGTCGCGGTCGCCCATTGATGAGAACTTGTCCACATATGGGCCCATCCCATCATCATCTACGTGACTCTCGTGATCCTCATCCGAGACGTACTCCCTGGGCGGCTCGCCCAGAGCGTCCAGATCGACCTTACCAAGGTCAACCAACGCCGGAGAATCCAGGATTCTCTGGATCCTCATGAGCTCGTTTCTGAACTGCTCAAAGCCTCCGGCCTTTTCAGTTACGGAGGTCGGCATTGCGCCCTCCCATGATTCTGGAAACATGCACACATTCGTAGGGGAATACTCGTCATCGGAAATATCCCGATCACGCTCCCGTACATCGCTGATCAGTGTCACGTCCAACAAGCCGCTTAGGGCCTCAGGACGCGACGCTTTCGCCGGATGCGGCTTTGCGCTCTTTGACGCTACAGCAGCCTCTTTGGCCGC